TAGACAATCCTACAAGGAACAGGACAGCCCCCCACAACAAAGAATTACCCAGCCCCCCAAATATCAATAGTTCCAGTTTGAGAAACCCTGATCTAAACTGAGACCACTCCAGGCAGCTGGAAGGACCCACACTCATGAGTATGGCAAAGGAAAGTCACCATCCTGGCTTCTAAGAAGTCAAAACAGTCCCCATCCACCTCCACCTATGGACTCCCAGTATATTTATTTAAATGAAGAAATGAGGGGCGCCTGGGTGGCGCAGTTGGTTAAGTGTCCGACTTCAGCCAGGTCACGATCTCGCGGTCCGGGAGTTCGAGCCCCGCGTCAGGCTCTGGGCTGATGGCTCAGAGCCTGGAGCCTGTTTCCGATTCTGTGTCTCCCTCTCTCTCTGCCCCTCCCCCGTTCATGCTCTGTCTCTCTCTCTCTCTCTCTGTCCCAAAAATAAATAAACGTTGAAAAATAAATAAATAAATAAATAAATGAAGAAATGATGCATTAAAGTTACGAAAATCTCATTCAACAGATAAAAACATTCAACACCCCTACTTCATTTGGAAGGAAAAATCAATACCTAAATTTGAAGTTCTTCAAAAGTATGAGGTTCAACCAAGTGGCCCCTCTGCTACCCTCTTAATCCCTGTTCTCAGTGATTCTCAGCCAGCACAACAGCACGAAGGAACCACCTGACTTTCAGGCTTTCTCCACTGCTCATTGGTGCTGTGACCTTTGACAAGTTACCTAATCTCTCTGAGCTTCAGTTTCCTTAGTTGTCAATGAAGATGCACATGTTTAGTTAGTTCTGACTATGTGTTAGGTATCTTACGTGCATGACTTCATTTAACCCCCAGGAGAGGAAGAGTGTGAAGTGGGTGTTGAAGGTTGAGTAGGAGTTGGTTCCTGGCAGAGGGAAGATGAACGGGCATCCCGGGGACGGCAAGTACAAAGGTAGGAGTGGACAACAGTGCTCCTCGGGAAGAGGGGAGAGTGGAGATCAGGACTGAGAATAATGGAAGTTGGGAATCTAGAATGGAAGCAGAGAATTCCCAAAGTCCTGTGCTCTGTGAACAGCTTAGAAAGGGTCTGGGTATCTCTGTCTGTGCCCCCCAACCCCCAGGGAACATGCCCTTCTTGGCTAAGGGCTACGTGCGTCTGTTCCCCAGTGTTGAGGGACGTTAGGCTTTGAGGGATGCTCACTGCTATAACCAATATGTCCAATGCTACAACCACCAGCTACATTTGGCTACTTAAACATGATGAAAGTTAGGTAACATTTAGATTCAGTTTCTCAGTGACCATAGGCACATTTCAAGTATTCAATTGCCACATGTGACCAGTGGCTATATAAAACTGGACAACATAGACGTAGGATGTTCCTCTCATCACAGAAAGTTCTACTAGACCGTGCTTGCTTAGAGGAATCTTTTTTGTTATTATTATCTCAGAAAGAGAGAGAGCGCATGAGTGCGGTGGAGGGGCAGAGGGAGAGAGAGAGAGAGAGAGAATGAGAATCCCAAGCAGGCTCCACACTCAGCATGGGGCCCGATGTGGGGTTCAATCCCACAAGTCTAGAATCATGACCTGAGCCAAAATCAAGCGTCAGACACTGAGCCAACCAACACACCCAGGTGCCCCTTAACTGTTTCATAGAGAACGAGCACTTCCCTTTTTCTGTTTCTGTCTGATCATCCCATACATTAGCAGTAAGAGCAACCACCAGTAGGTACCACACAGCTAAGGGCTGTAAGCTTTACCTTATTTAACCCATGAGCAAGGTATTATTAACCCTATTTTAGAGACGAATAAATGGAGAATTCGAAAGTGTGAGGATCCAAAAAAGTTGCACAGCTTATAGCCAGCAAAGCCAAGAGTTGAACCCAATGCTACCCAACCCATAGCCCATGCTCTTAACCAGCAAACTACCCTGCCTGTACGAGCAGCTAGATCCCAGGGTGAGCAAATTTGCAGCAATCAGCCAGATATTTCCCTCAGACCTGGTTATCACTGTCAGACTGAGAGTTGGGAAATACTGACATGTACTTCTGTGTTTGCTCCTGGGTGAATGGAAACAAAATAGTCCAACCTGGATGTTCCCTCTGGTCCCATATTAAAAATATTCTTCCCCTGCTCCTCGCACAGGACTCTTAAATAAGTTTGTTGTTGACAAAACACTTCAAATGCATTCTTTAAACAGAGGTGTTAAAGGCTTTTTACAAAGGGGGGAACTGCAACACAGAAGTAGCTCTCCCTGAAAATTCACACAAGACGAGCCATTTTGGAGTTGCTTAGGTAATTGTCGCCTGTTTAATTCTTGCAAATTGGCCTCATTCAGCAAGAGATGTTGCATTACTTGCTCCTTAGCCTCTGGCTTAGAGTAACTAGTTTTTCCTGTCTCCGTTTTAAAAAAGGAAGGATCTGGGCCAAACATTATTCAGACCTAGTTTCAAATCCCAGCCCTTCTTTGTCTTACTGTGGGAACTCGGGAAACTTACATGACCTTTCCAGGCTCAGTTTTTGCATCTGTAAAATAGGGCTTTTGTTGTCTGTTGGGATAAAATGAAGTAACATCTGTGCAAGCACCTGGTATGTTACACATGCTCCAACAATGCTAACCTCTCTTCTCCACGAAATCGCCACTTATAGTCATGTGGTATCATGGGATCAGGACTGTCAGAGCTGAGAGGGAGCAGAGTGACATTTAGAGCAGCCCTCTCAACAGACAATTTCTCTGTTTATCACCATGTAGGTGAGCCGTTGACTTGTGAAATGTCTGTAATCAAGAACCACTCCTGTGTGTTTTGGTGACATTTTTAAAGAGGGTAAAACAGAATGTTCCCTCTGACAATTGCAGACCTCTCTGACCAGAAGAGTCAAAGTGGCTCTGACACAGGCCACCAGGACTTTTGGAACGTTGTGAGGAGGAGAGGTCTGGATGGCCCCGAGTGAGCAGCCAGAGGGCTTGAGCCCTGGCTTCCGATTGACCCCAAATGACTGTCAGCGCCAGACTAGAGGTTGGGGGAAATTACAGAACCAGGATTCTAAGTCCCCAAAGCTGGGAATGTAGAACAAAGGGCTAGGTAACAGCTTCTACACCTGGGACCAAAACCAAGAGGGGCTCCAGAGTAAGCCACAGACAGATGCTATAATCAGAGTAAAAGTGGACGGGCAAGTTCAAAAGAAGCCAGTTGTCAGGAAGCAGGGGGGCAGCGCCTGGAGAGAGAAAGAGGTGAGGGATGGTCAGGAGGTCTGGATTTTGAGGCAAAGTCAGTCCCATCTCAGCCATGACTTCTCTCCTTAGAGGATGACCAGGCTGTGGAAACTAGCTAAGATAGTCTCCCCCTGAATCTGAGTTCAAGAACAGAGAGCCAGGAAAACTTTGCCGTTAAGAAGCCAGCCTTTTGAGTCAGGAACCAGTCTGGGTTTGAATCCCAACTCCATCATCCCTGGCTGTGTGACTTAGGCTAGTGTTTTAACCTCTCTGAGCCTCAGTTTCCTGATCTTAGGAAGATTCTGAGGATTATGATTATAGTAATGAAGATGCTAATGACGGTGATGATGGAGGAGGTTGGTGATGCTGGTAATGATGGTGATGATGGTGAGTATTATGATGTAATGAAGGTGATGATAGTAATGATGACATTGATTATGGCAATGGTGATAGCGATAATGGTTATGCTGATGAGGAGAAGTTGGATGAGGAAGATGGTGGTGGTGATGGTGATGGTGGTGATCATGGTGGTAGTGATGGTGGTAACAATGGAAGTTTGGATGGTGGTGATGATGGTGGTGATGGTGATGATGGCCATGGTGATGGCAGTAATGATGGTGGTGATGGTGATGATGGTGGTGGTGATGGTGATGGTGATGATGGTGGTGGCGGTGGTGGTGATGGTGGTGATGGTGGTGATGGTGATGATGATGGTTGATGGTGGCAGTGGTGGTCATGGTGATGATGCAATCGTGATGGTGATGATGGTG